AATTGATTGAATATGTATACCGAAAGAAGATATAACAATGATTCGAATAATTTTTGGTTGACGCGAATATTACGTATCCGTTTTGTTCTGTTTCGTTTAGTTTTATTTTTTCGGGGGGGGGGGGGGGTTATCAGTGTACATCAGAATTTTCTAGTGTTTAAAAGTCCTGAATCTTCATTAGAGTTAATTGCCGAGTGTACGTTTCGCATTACGAAAGGAAAAACAATATGGGAGAGAAAAGAGAATGAATTTGTTTGTTCTCGGTAGGAAATTAATGCGATACCACGAACGTGAGTAGATTTCAAAACGTAAGTTCAGTAAGTATTATTAACGAATGGCGAATATGTATACGCATGTATTAATATGTAAGTGTTTTTTCGATAGATTTAATCGTTTCATTTTAAATGCGATCGCTAAAAATGAAAAACAAATTTTTTCAAATATACATATTCTTTTTCAAAATCTTAATTATAATTTAAAATAATGTTTAAACGTTTTAAATAGCAAATGAATATATATCTATACTTACCTTAAAAATTATAATTTAACCCATATATAATATATTATTTTTCTATATCGAATATATATGGTATGTTATATAATTGCAGCTTAATATTTAAAATATTTATATATATATTGAGTGAACATATCATTATATGTTGTGATATAATATTAAGGAATGTCCATGTGTAAGTCTACGTTAAGAGGAGTAAGAAATTATACCTTTGGAAAAAGCCGTTTCAAAACGAATTTTTTATTTTCTATTTTTTTCTTCTTCTCTCTTTTTTTTTTTGTTCATAACGAAACCGAAGTAACGGCCATTGCGTGCTTAATGTACTCGGAAAGTTCGCATTTCCGAAGTACCCTTCAGCCAATCATGGAATCGGGGCAGAAAGTTTTGCCTCGACGTGGGGTGATCGCTCGTGCGTAAGACGTTCACGAAACGAAAAAGCTTGTTCTCGCTTTCTCGCGAGAGATCGTGTTAACAAAAACGGGTTAAATTGTACCATTGAGAAACAAAAAAAAAGAAGAAAAACAAAAAGAAATGAAAAAAAATACGACGGTAAAAATTTTTACGCTAGCCGTTAGAGTAATTACCTGTATATCGTTTTGTTAGCAAAGAAAATATTATCGAAACGTTCGAATCGAATAATATAAAACGAAATTTCTAATCGAGCATGGATTTCATTTTCATTATAGAAATGAAATTATACATAATTACACGCATTTATACGGCGATCTCATAATCATCATCGCGAAAAACATCGAAACAGATTCGCAAATTATAATATATTCTATTTTCGTAGATATTTCAAATATTAAATGTACTCGCATTCATTTCGAAAACTGTTTTACTACGTTTAATCAACTAATTATTTTCTTTTTCATTGCGAGATGTTTCATTGCGAGAAAAAAAAAATATGTTTCGGCAAGATCCCAACGTGAATACGTAAGCATTTACATACGTACCGCGTATGTATTTATATTGCATACATAAGAGAGAATCTCAGATGAAAAAAGAGAGAGTGTACACTCTGTATACGTGCATATATATACATATATACATATATATATTTACGCGCACCTTACTGTAGATCCGAGTTGTTGGAAAAGTTTAATCCATGGTACGGGATCTAAATTAAAATCGTATGAAGCTTTGAGATACGTATCTTTTACTTTTTTACTTTTTTCTTTTTCTTTTCTTTTTTTTCATTTCCATTTGGTAACTTTTTTGGTTTTCTTCTCGAAAAGTTTTTTCCAAAAATGAATTAAAGAAAAAAAGAAGATACTAAATCATAAATACTAACATTAAACATAATAATGTTGAAATATATTAATGTATTAAATAGAAGTTAATAAGAACAAACAATTGCAACACGTTCTTTAATTAAGTTGCCAAATTAAATGCTATTGTAACGAATCTTTTACCGATAATGCTTGTAATATGCAAGAGATAAAGAAAGAAAGAAAGAGAGAGAGAGAGAGAGAGAGAGAGAAAGAGAAATATAGGAAATAGCCATGAAAATACAAAAAGAGTACAAATTCGTTGGCTATAACGTGGTGACGTAGGCGAAGCACAGGTGGCTGCTCATTTGCAGATCGTTTCTTCTAATTATCCTCATTATCAGCACTCGTAATGCCGATGCGACAGGTGCTTTCATTGCATTTGTTGAATTCGTTTTTTTTTTATTCCTTTTCTCTTGTCTTTATATATTTGTGCATGTGTGTATCTGGGAGGACGAGGAGAGGAGGAAATTGGGATGGTGGTAGATTAGTGGGGGTAAACCCTTGAAACTCGTTTTGGCACGATCACTAAAGTAAAAGCAGAGAACCGCGATAAAAATTGACGTTGAGTAGTAAAACGTGGCATTGCCAGGTACTCTACGTTTACGTTGGTCGTCGATAAAATTATTCGACCTTTTCACGGATTTACTCGTCCATTAATTAGTGCTCTCTAACTGAGAGGCGAGGCAAAATGACGCAGGGAACACGCAACCAAGCGGCTTTTTGACGATCAAACAAGCTACAATAATTTCTCAAAATGTACGGTAATTACGATGGTAGATTGTAAATTACGAATCATTGTTGGTAGTACTATAGGCATATATATATATATATATGCACGGCGTGCACGCGACATTTTAATTCTATTCTCGTTTCATGTATTTTCGTTTATCCTTTTTTTTTCCTTTAATCTTTCGTACACCAATGATTTTACTATTTAACTTTACAATCTCAAATACTTTTATGATAATTTTCATTTTATTGGAAACATATTGAAATATGTTTATATCAGCAATATTGTAATATCAAAATATGAAGTCAATTTCAAATGACTTTATCCTTTTTGTCAAAGTTCATCAAGTAATTCAGTTCTCTAGTGGATCGTAGAAGGAGAGAAAGCTTGAGGTAGAGAATCGAGCTTCAACGTTGGATGATAAACTGAAAACAATACGAAGGTCGACGTTTGACCGTGCGCAAGACACGATCATGCTTTCAGCTTTTAGCTTAAAGCTTTAAAGCGTTGCTCTGATAACGCTGATGTGAGTCGACTCGTATACCAGCAAGAAAACTATTTCATAACTGGGTCAAGCCGTGTGCTGGCTCATTCGGGAGAGTTCGTTGCTGGGGTAGGAAGAGGAAATACAAGGAGTTTGTGGAAAAGAAATGGAAGAGTGAAAAACGTCGGTGAAAGAGTTTTTCCCTATACCAAACTTTTTTCTTCGTCTATATATATATATATACTTTTAAATCAAGGATTTTCATAATTTTTATTTTTTTTTTACATCTCCATATATCTAATATGCGATATTTAATATATTAACATATTTACGTATAATTATATGTTATATATTTTACGTGAATATATTTATGAATCATTCATTTGATTCAGTAGTATTTTGTTTAACGGTTAATATGAATATTTCATTCGGTTTAACTAATTAAGTATATTTAAATTCGCATTTGGTGCTTTTACCGACAAGCACGTGTTATTACCTACTAACGTTTTATCATAATTACTTATCATTAAGTATCATTTATTTAATATATATTTATTTGATAAATGTCAGATAGTTATTATATATATATATATAACTATATATTATTTGAACAAAATTATTCAATCCTATTGGAGATTAATAATTGCGAATGATTTGTACTTTTTGTTTTGATTTCTTTTCTTTTCTTTTTATCTGAAGATTTATGATATCATGTACGTAAATCGAAGTGAAGAAAATAAAGAAAGAAGTAAGGATAGAAGATATACATGTTAAAATTCTAATCAAAATTTTCTTTAGAAAAAAAATGCAAATTATATTAGGTAGTTTTTCCTTCGCGAAAAGAATCTCATTTTTCGCGGATCCTAACCGAGTCATGGACGAGATTGACACGTGAAAGGAATAACCAAGAAGATCACGGCGAACCACCATACAAAACACGGTTTTCTTATCGCTAACGTTACTCGCATATTCAAAGTAGTAGCGTACCTATATAAGTGTACGTCGTGAGGAAGTTTGGTTTATCTTTTGTCATGGCCTTTATAAGAAAATTCTTGATTCTTTCTCTTTCTATCTATTTTATAGAAAATGGAGAAATTATTTCTACCTGTCTTTTTCATGCTTTTTCTTGTTTTATATATATACATTAAACAATATAAAAAGAAATGAGAATAAAAGTTTCGCGTAAATTATTGATTAGAATTTTTGGTGTTCTTTTATCTTTGATAATACCTAAATGGATAAAGTAATTTTAACATTCTGTCCAATGTAGTAACGGACATTATCTATCTATCTCTCCTCAGTGACTTTCTCATAAATTTGAAAAGTTCTCCAAGTTACTTTATCTATTCGATTTCCCACGATATGATGATTCCAGCATATTGCTCTAACTCTAACATGAAACTTTCTCCCAAATGCTACGGATTTCGGGGTATCATAATCGTAGTTGAGTTTGTAGAAAAGCTACGAGATTGGAATAATATGTCGCTCATTTGGAAACTAATAGGAGAATGAGGAAGCAAAAATGAGGAAGAGATGAAGGAGGAAGAATAAGAAGAAGAAAAAGATGAAAAATGAGGACAATGGTGAATCTTGAAAGGTGCAACGAGTCGAACTTTTTTCTTGTTTCTTAACTAGAAGGGTCAACGTCTACTCTCAAATATTTCCACAACGACGAATGTTAAACCGCTCGTTACCTTAGATCGTATATAGAACTTCAATGCGGTTTTCGAGATTTTTCATGCGATAAAATTGAACTCACTCGAAAATCCCCCCCCCTCCCTTTCGATTACAAACCATACGTCTGAGGAAGTAGTTTTTCAATTTTTCGATTTATTATTACGTTTCGTGGATGTCGTCAAAGATTTATAGTGAACCTGTAACGATTGTTATATATTCGATACGTTGCCAATAAAAATATATTGAAAATTTCAAGTAAGTATTATTGGTAGTTATCATCGATCGATGATAGAAAAGTTATGATTTACGATTAAAATCTACCTTCTTTAGCCTGGACGTATCCGTGAACCTCGCAATAACTGCCAGCTGGTCCAGCAGCACCTGGAGTGTCCAAAGTGTAAAGGGTGTTGGCTGAAGATGTGAGAACATCATCGGGTGTATGAATAAGACCTGTTGCCTGCGACAACGTACGTTGCTGATGACGTTGTTGCTGCAGCTGCTGCTGTTGTTGTTGTTGTTGTTGTTGTTGTTGCTGCTGTTGTTGTTGCTGTTGTTGGTGTTGGTGCTGCGAATGTTGCTGAAGTTGATGCTGCTGTTGCTGCTGCTGCTGTTGTTGATGTTGTTGCTGGCTAGCAAGCATCTCCTCGTGTCGGCACTTCGAGCAACGACGCATCTCCGAACGAACTCGTAGCAGCCAGACCATGCCGAAGAGTGCCATAGCAACCTCGAGTCCCGGTGACCTCGATGGATGCTTCATGCTCGCTGAATCAAGCACATCGAGGCTCAACGAGCCAACGCGACACATATCACCGATCTCCCGACCGATCACTCACCGATTTGCGAGGAATATTCTCGCTTTTTTAATATAAAAACGTTAGAAGATATTTTATTGTTCTATCCTTATCATTAATATTATTACTTTAATTTGTTCTTTTTAATTATTAATATTTTGTGTAATGTATTTATATACGCGTAATAATCCTATAACATGTAACGTGTTACTTTTATTGCCCTAATGATTGGCCATATTCCGGCAGTGTTCACGATATCGAATTTTAAGAAAGTCTTATTGTATTTATTTGCAATGTTCTATGAGTTTTCTTTGCTTAAAGCTTTAGCAAATTTCACTAGATTTAAAGGGTTTTCTGTAACCCTCTTCTTACTTTCAACATCAAACTATGATCGTCGTGTTTTGCCGAGGAAATGAGAATTCTCTACGTAAGCAGGAACTTTGTTAAACAGCAGGATGAACGATGAAACCGTCGGAATTGGTGAACGGTTAATAGATCTTTCGTTAAAAACTTCGTCGATCTCAGCGAATCGAAGGCACCAAGGTTTCTTCCAACTTGGATTGGACCCAAAGAAACAACGATTTTTCCTCTCTATTTTGTTAAATCTTATAGAAAAGAAACTAAAAGAAAGAAAAGAAAAAAACAAAAAAATACAAAAAAGAAAATAGGAAATTCGACTTGTATAATCGATCGATAATCGAAATCCTTTTCATATCTCGCGTTTCTTAGGAACCGAACACCGACGATTTATATGTCGTTTTTCTTCAATTTATTCTAAGAACATTGATCACGAAGAATTTTCAATCTTTTCATCGTCTTCTTTCGACTTTCCTCGCGTTCTCTTCCCCTTGGGTAACTCGCTACGATTCATCGGCTCGAACACTGTCGTCATTTTATGGAGCAGCACGACAATAGTAACGTTTCTATTGAAAAGGATACTTCAGAATTGTTTGGTCTGTACGCATGAGTAGTGGGGATGTGGGTCAGTCACCACCACTATGACCACCACCCAGAACCATCAACAACACCCACTATTACCTTCTTCCTTCTGCCTCTGGACACAAAAGTATCCAAACTATAGTAAATTCACGATAACCTGAACTTTCTTTATCTTCTTATTTCTATTCTCCTTTTCGTCTTATTTTTCTTGATCCGTTTCGATGCTCCAGGGATTCCGCTCGCAGTGAGTGAATAAAAGTCAAACCCTTTCTCAACCCCACCCTTCTTCGTTTTCCAGCCCTCTCGTTCGTTCTTGCTTATATCCTCCTGTAAAAGTATTCCGTAGAAAGAGAGTAGAAAGAGAAGAATAAGAAGAAGAAGAAGAAGAAGAAGAAAAAGAAGTAGTGGTATCAGGGTTCTGTTGGTACTACTGTTCGTACTATTATTCATACTATTGTTCGTACTACTGTCCGTACTATTATTCGTACTACTGTTCGTACTACTTCTACACCCACTACTCCTCTTCTTCTCTTCTTCTTCTTCGTCACGATTCTTCCACCATTTTCGAGCATAGCCCGGCAGCATAACGAAAGATTACACTCGAGGAAGAAACTATCTCTCTTTCTCTATCTCTTTCTCTCTCTCGGTGTGTTTATCTTTTCGAGTTTCCTTCTTTGGGAGAATTTTTCTTCCTTTTCTTTCGTTATTTTACATTTCTCCCATCTTTCTTTCGCAAATATAAACGAATCGTCATCGTCTTGAAAGTAGAAGAAGAAGAAGAAGACGACGATGACGACGACGACGACGATGACCTATGACTCCGAGAAAAACTTTTTCATTGTTTTCAAAGACTTCAACGTTAATATTAAAGTATAACGAGATACGTTGCATGTAGACGTCGAATCGAACGCCTTAGGGAAAAGAAGAAAGAGAGTATAATATCTGTTAATATTCTTTTGTTTGATTTTAACAAGAAACAAAAATATAAGAGTACAATATCAATCGATTTAATCTGACGATAATTTAAACGAACAAAATCCAAATCAATTTCCAGATATTTCTTCTTCTTTTTCTTCAGGCGTCGTATTCCTTAAAAATTTAATTCGAATCGAATGATGACAATGATCGTAAATGTAAATCGTTTTTGTTGGTTGGGAAGAGTTTGAAAACTAACGTTTGCTTCGAAAGTTCAGGGGTTGGCTTTGCTTTTAAAAGGAGAAGGAAAGAGACGAGAGGGAAGATTGAACAAGGGTAAATTGCAACACGAAACGTGGAAAAGCTTGATATGTGTATGTGTTGTATCTGTGTCTTTCGAGTATCGCTGGCACTCGTCTACTCGAACGCGAAAGCTTCGTGTCTCGCACGTACTAGCAGCAATTAAAACTCGACTAAATCCTATTTCATATCCTACTCACTCCTCTACGTCTATTCTCTCTCTCTTTCTCTCTTTTTTACACACATACAGGCACACTTTTCATCGCATGCTATTCCCAAGACTATTTTATCCATCGACTCGCCAAAGTAAAATCTATTTACGTTTCTTGGACCCTCTAGTTCGATCAAATTTTATCTTTTTATTATTTTTCTTCTTTTCCGACCGTGATGGTCTCGTATCTTAAACCTATTCAAAAAATTAGTGTTTCATCTTTACCATTGATTTTCAAAAATACAATTCTATACTTAATTGATTACCTTGCTCGAAAAAATAATTTACTCAAACGTAATCTTTTAGAAAAAGTTACATTTATGATATTATCAATAACCAAAAACCCCGATAAAAAATATTTAAATGTTATTGCTTGGAATGCAATCCTTGAAATGGAATTGTTACACTGCTATTTTACTATCGTCAAGCAATGGCAATACGACGAGGAACAAAGAAATGCATTCAATGAATATAATTCAGGCAAGCATTAGGAAATGATACAATTATGAATTTTCCCTGGCAGTGGATAGTAGGAAGCGATCCAAGATAATTAAATGAAAGCAACGTCTTCTCTTCATCTTTTCCCGACTATATTTCCGCTTTCTCTTCTTCTTCTTCTTCTTTACCCTCTTTAACAAACCCTCCACGCCTTTTACCCCCACAGAGCTCCTTTTCCTCGATTGTATCTCCTTCCAACTTCTCTCCCCCTTTCACCCTACTCCTCAAGTCAAAACTATCCCACTCTCTCTTCTTACCACCTCTGGATACTCTGCTAGAACGCATACCACGTGAACGAGGATCAGGAGTAGGAATTCTCCGATATTTACGAGCGCTTTTGAGGGCACGTTGCAATGCGAAACCGACTATGCTGATCCTTCGAACCGCTTGTATGCGAGTGAACGATCGTCGAAATACCATTTCGTTGATGGATAGAGAGGAAGCATTCGATTCTTGCCAAGTCGATCCTTCAATCGAACATTTTCTTTAAATTATCCCTTATTTTCCCACTTATTACTTAATCAATTTTCTCTCAGAATATCTTCCATTATGTTTTCATTATTTTAACGTGATATCATTTATTAAATGTTAATAATACATTTCTATAATACATGTATACATATTAGGATATAGTCATGATTATACATTTGCTTCGAATGAATCTTTTTGAACGTTCGAATTTTATATATAATACTATTTATGATTTTTATCAATTTGATATATCATTTATTGCTTTGTAGAGAACATTAAGGGCAGTTCCAATTTCAAATTTTCAATTCAATTAAGAATAATTTGTTTAAAATTGATTTCTAATCTATACATACTATTCCAAATTTCTCCGTAAATCAGAAATTAATCCAATTTATATATACATGTATATAAGAAGGGGATAAGGTTTGAATGTAATTTTTTTTTTCTTTTCTTTTTACCGTAATTACAAAGAAACGACATAGATTCCTCTATGAATAAAATGACTTGTTAGTCTCGTTGGTAGCGTTAACGAACCGTCAAGTTTTCGGGTCAGTAGGCTAAGTGCCCTTATCGTGACAAAAATAGAATCGCCGGATTCTACGCGACACGGATTTGTTCGGGAGAACCTTTGCGAGTGAAATTATTCACAGTACGATGACCGACAAAGAGCATTGTTTCGCGTTTGTTGTCCATCCACGGGGTATGTACCCTAATCGCACTAGATTATGCTGGTCCTGCACAGAAAGCTTCTACGCTCGAGAGACGGAAAGACGACTTAGAGAGAGAGAGAGAGAGAGAGAGAGAGAGAGTGAGAAGAGAAGGGGTCGAAGGGGAAGGGATAGAACTCTGTGATTAACTTTGCATCGTCCTCGTGTTCTACCTTGGAACTATTTCAAAAGGAAACTCATATCGTGTGTTACAAGTTTTAACTCGTTTGTATTCCTCTTTATCTCTCCCTCACTCTCTTTTTCTCTTTCTCTTTTATTCTATTCTAATGATATAAAGAAAACAATGTTAATCGGTATGTAATATATTATAATAACAATTTTACCTGTTTCAACTGACCAAGAAATGGCTTAAAATAAATTCGATAATGTTGCTCGTTGTTTCGGATAATTAAATGCAAGATTGTATTTTTAACGATAGATAAACTTATTCATTATAATACATGCATGTATGTACGGAATATTTCTGGGGGATTTACTATAAATATAAATAATACATAGATGCGTTTATCGATATTCTCACCGAACGATTATTTCGATAGTTAGATATTCCTGAATATAATTCTATCCGAATATCAGAAATAATGGAAACGATTTGATAGTCATTCGCGTGATCGTAAATATGTATAACAATTGGTAAATGATATTAGAAAGGAATAATTGAATATTATTAACATTTGATTTAAACTTATAATCACATATTATCATGAACAAAACAAATTGGTAAGGGATAATATATTATAACCACTATGTTCACGTTTGAACTATCGAATCGTTTATAAATTGTAATCGATTCGGTAAGCATCTTTACTGAATGAACGTATCCAAGAAGCTTGGAAACTCGAGAAACTTTCTCCATATAGGCGAAGGAAGTACTCTCCTTCGTGAACTTTCAACGTTCGTGATTCGAATCGGGTTCATGGAGAAACGATTTCGTAGACACGTCGACGACTTCAAATTTTAATCGTAAATCTATCGAATGACGTATTATTACATCGTTTGCTGCATCCCAAATCTTTCGAAAGTTCTCGAA